TAAAGTTCGAAACGTTGAAATATTTCGTTTTAATTTAATTATATGTATTTCAATAAAATGGAAACTACTGCTGTTACTTTATTATGCGTACTAAAATTTTTGCCCATTCATAAAGAAAATGTGTACATTTATCACATACAAAAAATTAAAAAAAGTAACATTGGACTAGATCATTCATTAGCATCAGCTGATCGTGTAGAAACAATCTTATCTGCTATAACATTGATTTCATTCGTGTATACAATATGAATTTAAACGTGTGCTTTATTCATCTCATAGCGACATGAGGCAACACAAAAAATCTAAAATCCATAGATTTCAAACATAGTAACTATGAAGAGTATACCGTGATTTTGATTAGATTTTAAACAATAAGAGACCAAAATGAGTTAAAATGAGACTGAGACGGATACTGTCAACATTTGTATGTAGAACGTTTCTCTGTCATCTCCATTTCAACTTATCTGGATCATGATTAAGAGCGAAGTCGCACTTGACGAGCATTTTTCCTTCTGATTTTCTAAGCGATTCTAATTTATTTTTTTTCTTTACAGGCCTGTTGAAAGATAAAGAAAGCAGTACAGATTATAAACCATTGGCTTAAATTATTTATTCTCAATTATGAATTTATAATTGAACAAATCCGACGACAAACTTTTACATACGACGTTAACTGATAATATTAACTACTTTTATAAATATTAACTACCCGGTTAACAGTGAACGATTCACCTATATTTTCCCTTTTACATGTTTTTTATAAAAAAAAAAAAAAATCATTCATGAACTGACGACTTTACCTAGAAATCAACGATTATTTTTCTCTTAATATGTTTACATTGTGACTGATATATAGTTTTCTTTTATTGAAAAAAAGCTATAATGTGATTCTCTCGTTTTTGTTTTCACGTGCAATATACTCTATGCTGTGTTATTAACATTCCATCTATTTTTAATAATTTTCTTACTTTTTAATTAGAAATACTTATTTATTTTCTTGTAATTGTTAGTTACATATACAGGCAATGTTTAGACTGTTATATGGTGAAAAACAGTCTGATATTTTTTATAATCAATTATGTTGCATGATTATTTATGTAATAAAATAGAGTGTTAATCGATCCGGTTGATATTTTCAATTTAGAAATATGGACACTTAAATATTGTTTTCAAACTAAATAAAAAAACCAGCAAAAACTGATATAATACTCAAAAAAAAGTGTACAGTACTGATACTAAATGTCTCAAAATTACAGGAAAATTTTATTCTAACTATTTAAATGCTACGTTTTAGATGTGTTTTTGAGATGTGTTCATCTCAATTTATTAAACAATGCCAACATTGGCATCTACTAAAACCTCCTATCATTTTCACTTTGTCATCCACAATACCACAATCATTAATTTTTTATCGAAAATTTACAATTAGACAAAGAGAGAAATCAACATTATCATCTACAACAACTTCAATCTCTAGTCAAACGAAAGACAAATTATCAAAGGATAGTAATGGAATAGTTCAATTTCAAAATACTAATGGACAAATACAGACAAAAACGCTGGGCAAGAAAGGTAATCTGAATATTTTTATTTTCTCTATAACTTTATATCTTTTATATTAGAACATTTATTTTTACCTTTTAGCACAGCAAGCAGCAAAAGATATATCTTATACATTGATAATTGTTGCCGGTGTAAGCACCCTTGGTAGGTACAAATGGGCATACATAGAATAGTGACTGTCTTAATTATTTCATGTTAAGGCAGTTTATGTTATATCATATTGAGAGAATTATGTTCACGAGAGACACCCAATGGAATTTACAAAGAAGCATCAAAACTTTGTATGGAAAATATTAATGTACAAGATGCTTTGGGAACTCCAATAATAGTATGTTCTTTTCGATTTAGTATATCTGTCTCATTGTATTCATGTTCATTTTATTTAGGTGCATACAACTCCTCAAATAGGCAGTATGCGAATGAATAATGTTAGAGCCAAAATATTTGATGAAAAAGGTTGATTAACTGACTATTCTTTTATTTTGACTGTTAACTTATCATTTGTTCTATTTAGGTCGTAAAAAAATGATTTTAACATTTTATTTGACTGGGAAACAACGTTCTGGTGTTGTTGCAGTCAAAGTAGAAAAAGTATTTTTAAAACAAATAAAATTAGATTATTTTTCAACTATTTTTTTTTTATTATATATTTTAGAATATTTCAAATTGTTATATTTACGATTATATATTTATTCAGTTGGATCGCTCATGGAAAGGTTTTAATGTTATTGACATTCGAACATCAGACAGTAAATTTCCCATCGATTCATCAACACTTAGAGTTTAAAATTTGAATCAAATTTTCCCCTTTAACATTTGTAAATAGTTAATAAACAAAATTTGTTCATATAATATATATTTTAACTTTTTTTTGTGTGTGTACCATTATAGAGAAGAGATTTAGTAAAAACTTCTACTATTTTTTAAAAATTAAATTTGACACAACGTAGAATATCACAAGCTTCAATGAATAGTTTGAAAATAAAAAATCTTTTATGAATATAATACTCGAACATTTCGATATAGTTTTTTTTTCTCAGTTATATTTCTTAGCTATGTGATTGATAATGTTAGTGATCAAAATCATAGTGATACTGTTGATGCTGATGTTGTATTTGGATTATTGTTAGTACTATTATCGACATCTTCTATTTGTATAATATTAATAAGATTTTTCTTTTTTGGTTCCAAATGAGCACTAACACTATCATGACGAATAAAACAACGTTTTTTATATATGAAGACGACTAGTCCGACTAATACAAGTAATAAAATGAACACAATTATTGAACATAATAGATAAAGAACTAATGTTAATATTGATAAACGATTGTTTTCATCAGCACTAATTGATGATCCATATAGTGTTGAGGATGATGGTATAACGATGGGAGTTGATGTTATTACATAACTACTAATAGTAACTAATTCAACATCTCGTAAGATATTTGTATACTTTGGTTCCATTAAATTTGTATGATTAAATATTGGATGTGTAGTTGTATGTTCTGAAGTGGATGATATGGGAATTGTGTTTGTTTCAATAGCTAAATAAATTTAGTTAAATAAATGCAAATATCACTATTTATATGACATGAAAGTATATCTCACTTCTTGAATGACATTGTGACATTAGTAAAAGATCATCAATGGCAAATAACGAGTTACTATTTGGAAAATGTCTAGCTTCAATTTCTACCTGAAATAGAAGAAAATAGTTAAAAAGTCGTGTATTCTGCTTTTTGACATAAAGTTTTACTCTATGGATTTGCTTAATTGCCATTGTCAGATTGGCATATTGCCAGATCAATCGATTATGTGTAAAATTTTCAGTATTGGTTAATGACAACCATTCGCCCATTTTCTTTGCAACACCTTTTTGATTTAGGACATAAACTGTTAAGGTGTCATATGGATTACGAATTAAAAATTTAAAACTTAAATTAATAGTTGAACATGGTGGTAACCATATTGTTCTTAATGCTTCAGTAAAACCTTGTTCTCTATCTAGTTCATCACCAATCATAATTAATACAACTATAATGATTGTAGAGGATAATTAAATTGAAGTTTCTGATTTAAATTAAATAAATATTTACCTTCGTCTATCAGTTTATCATTGTCGGTCAAAGTTCCTGTATGCCATCGTCTTCCTGTTAGCCATTCACATGTACCATTGGAAAATGTACAACTCTCATTATAAGTCAAAGGTGATGTAGTGGTATTGATCAGGAGACTCTCAGTTACACGTAACAAGAACACTTAATAAAAACAACATGAACAAAACTTTTTTATTGTCCTACTTAAAATTTATCACAACATAATATTTCTTACTGAATTAAAGTCGATTCTATAGAGAAGCTTCAGATAAGTGTTAGTTTTATAATTTATAAATAAGATCGAAGAACAAGGTTAAGAAACATTCGAAAAAACGTCAAAGAAATATTAAATCAAAAGTTTGTTACAGAAATTCAAATGATTTAATATTCTTTTGTTTGAAAAAGACTTTCTACTTCGTTTCGTCATTAAGGTTCTAAAGAACACTTATAACGTAAGTTATCATATTTAAAGATTGCCTTGCCTCGCAAAAGGTGCCTTTTCTTATAAAGTGTTCAATGAACTAATAGAAATCTCAGTAACTCTATTCTAAAAACCAAAAAATATTTTGTAAGATTTTTATTACAACTTACACGTCAAAATCGATTCAAATATCATTTTGTATGTTTTTGTCGAAAGATCTATTAATTTTGAATGATCGAACTATACTAAAAAAGAATCTATACAAAAACGATGTTTTATGTATTGACATACAGATTAGATAGTTTATATAGTCGTAATTATTTAAAAAAACGACGATCGAAAAAGAAAAAAGGAAATCGACATCAATCGTAACATGTTGGTCATCAAGCAGTTAAAATAATTGTTATACTACCCAAATTCTAACATGGAAAAAATTTTTCTCTCATAGCTGATGATACGAGTACTGGACGGACGATTTCTAGAAACCTTATTAGACAGATTTATTTCCAAGAATGGAATTAAATTTTTTCTTAACAATTTGAATAGATGATTTTCGAATACATTTTTTCCATTACAAAAATCAATAGTTTTAATTGATTCTCTCAACATGTGCTTCAGAGTATTAGCTTTTGGTATATGTGAAGCAGGGATCTTCAACGTTACTCTAAAACAGTCAAAACAAGACAAACTCCGATGGAATCATTTTGATTTTAACTTACTGAAGAAAAATAATTTTCTTTCCTACATGACGAACTTTTGCTTTGAGAAGTCTGGTAATAGGATGTTTATCATTGTAAATAAATTGATCAAGAAACAATGAAGCATTTTATTCTTTTTCCGTGAAAGTGACTACAAGTTTTTTAAAATTTAAACGTGACGGTCAAAAATTTTAAAAATACTTTGACTTTTTTTCCGATACTACGCAGTTACTACCGTGTTTATAACAATGTGCCGTGTGCAAAGTATCTACGTAAATATTATCAATAAGGAGCAATAGGAGAGATCCACAAATAGGCCATTTTTCTTTAGAAAGTCTCCCAGAGTTTACACTGGCTTGATGCGAATCGTTCCCGGCCTTCATGACTAGTAGAACTCGATGTGCTGATCACGAAAATCGAGTTGAAAAGAGAAAAAAAGATGTCCGAGGTACGGTCGACATTCAGGGCTCGCTAAGAAAATCAGCTTGCGTGCTTCAAATCATTTTACATGCAAGAATGTTTCTAACTGTTAGGACAGATATATTCTGAGCATTTTCTCTAGCGGAAACATTTTCTATAATGTGTCCTTCGGTCGGGAGAATTTTCCGAAAAAACTAGTTTTACGGCTCTACGTCAGAGACGAATATTGGTACCAAAACAAACAGAAAACACAACACCAATATATATATTAGATTAGCCGTTTGATACTCTATCGAACCATGCGCTTTTCAATCTTCTATCTAAAATGATACATTCCCAAATGAGGATCAACATATATTTGTGCCAGGGCTATCAGAAAAACAGGATTTCATTAATGGTCCATTACTTTCGGGACACAAAAAATCTTACGTTATTTCCGGTAGAATTTTTCTGATATTTTCAAACGCATCGAACATTGTTGAAATCCTCGAAGATTGAAAAGAACATGGTTAGAGAGAGTGTCAAACGGGGATTCTGATGCACATATTGGTGTTGTAAACGAGTTGTCACATTAGAAGATCCGGGTCTTCTAATCTGTCCTGATTTTTAAAGATTTTAGAGGGGTCTTGTATTATATCCCAGAAAAAGCTTCTCCAAAATATCGCTTTGTTAGCAGTATAACTGACGTTCTTTTCTAAAAAGTCTTAGAAACAGAGGGATCTTCTATTTCAACTTTTACATGACGCGGCCGATGAGGCCCTTCTGATGTGACAATCCCTTTATTTTCTATTTGTTTTGGTTTGCCGATATTTGTTTCTGGCCATTTTCAACAATCACACATTGCCTGTTATGCAGATGGCTCGAGAAATCACTTTATTAGCCTAACTTTATCCTACTTCTCGTCATTATCAAAAGTCTTTAAATAGTCAATGAATATTAAATGAAAAGAACGAGAGGATCAAAAAACGATCAAATAAGTTTCCATATTTAACTAGAACATCCCAATGCCGTTGCATGCTTTTATCGTGATTTTCGTATTGATAAAATTATTTCAGTTAATCGATAGATATCTTTGGTTCACTAATCGAGACGATTACGTTTTCTCAGATAGTAGACATTTCCGCTTTCGATTGTTCAATGGGTGACAAAAGAAATATGACTTCTTTATAGTTTAAAAGAGAAACTTCGTCAGAATAGAGGTAAAACACCCTTGCAGAAACTTTTTGAAAAGTCCAAAAATCCATTCAGATACTTTTCAATATATTATTACGATTTAATTATTAAATATTATCGTTTCTCTAAGAATAAAAGAACGGTTTTTGTTTGAAGTAGTAGCATCAAAAATGCGTTTATAGCGTGGCAACGGCGACAGACGACGAGAGACTTCATTTTTTAGGAGTGAATATAGAATGGTCGATAAGAAAAATCAAAAACAGTTTTAAAAAGCAGTTGAAAAGAACGGCTTTTCCAAGCCAAATATTGTAGAACACAAACATGTACAATGACGCTGCAATTCATTCATACACACTTTTCCTGTTCATTTTGATCACTTTGTCATATCAAAATAGTTTCATATTTAATTGTATTCAGTTGGAGATGACCATCTTCTTTTGCTGTTGCTGCTGCTATTGATAACAATTCTTTTAACATACGTTCATATTTTGGTAACCAAAAATTGTTACAGAATTTTTTTCAAAATTCATTGTCATAAAGAACATTTTCTAAGATAAAATTAAAACTGGTAAATAATAAAAATTGATTACGTTCACTTAATGGTGTTGTATCATGTTGTTTCACAGCTTTTAGATAATCACTACTGCCATCCGATGAATTAACACATTGAACAAATGCATCAAAAAGTTGCCGATTATCTTCAACAAATTTTACCGATAAATTATTCATGACGTTAATTAAAAACTCAACAAATTTGTTCATCATCTGTTCATAGTTTTTTATTGTTTTCTAACCATCGTGTTGAATAAATTGATAGAATATTCATTTAATAGAAGAATTTCTCGAATTATTTTGTCTGTTACAGCTGCTGCTTCAGCATCACCACTACTCATTATCGTTGCTGCATTCGCTGCTTGCAATGTGTTTGTGATAAAATCAAGACATTTTTCTATTGAAACAATTTCATCATTGAGCAATACACCACCGACTGAAACAGCTTTTTTTACAAGTTCAATCGATCGATCATAAACTAGCGAAATAATTCGATGACTTAAGTGTGATAAACTATTGTCCGAACCGAGAGAATGAATCTTTGATAATGAATGAATAATTTAAACACTTCAACGCTAATTTCAGGCGTAGAGTGTTCGGTATAATAATCAAATACAGCTTTTAACTGATCAGAAGATATTCCTCCAGTTTCTTAATGGCGAATCAATTCGAATTTTTCGATAGTAGAAAGTAATGATTACATGATTCAAATGCTTCTTACAAGTGTAAGGCGGTTGAAAAGTAGATAACTCAAATTTTAATACGAGACTTGCCTCCACTGACAAAAGCATCTGTTTATATGACGTCTTTCACAAACATTTATTCTGGCACAAATTAGTCGAATACCTTTACAAACAAACAAAACAGCGTGTGCTTCACAGATAAAAGAGTGAAGCCAGCTGTGGTCAACAACTGCTTTCGTAAAGTTTTAGAAGTTCACTAATGGCTCTTAGCTCATTTTGATATCCTCGCACACAATCATACTGCCTACTTGTTTTTGGTTATCTTACCTTCAGATGTACAAAGAAACGGAAACACAAAAATGAACCGTGAAAGCACAAAAAACTGGATCCATTTCTGTGGTAAAATATTGAAAAAAGATCATCGAAGCGAAACCGTATTTCTAATGAATTAAAACGTAGATATAAGACGAGAAAAGTGACGCGTGTTGAGCAAAGAAAGAATGTATTCGTTAAATTTCAAGCACACAGTCTTTTTCAAAGCTGACTAGTTATATGTCGGATGAAGCGGACCACTCGTGAAATAATTTGAAACGACTAACGATCGTTAGAACGCGTTAAATATGAAACATCTAACGGATTAATCCATCTCTCTAAAGCGTTAAAATTTAGAAATTAAACGAGTGTGAACGCAATTTTCATCGTTTCTTTTTCGAAATTACTTTTGACCACGTTAAGTTTGGAATTTAACCCGTTTAAATGCGTTAAATATGAACTATTTGATTATTTTCGTATTTAATGCATTTTAACGATCGTTAGCCGCTTCAAATTTCATGAATAGTATCAGATTTTTTTCCTATTTTTTTTATGTCTTAAGGTATAATATTTGTAAAATAAAGAATATAGATGTAGAGTATAGTAGTGATATGTGTGAAAATATAATTGTTCACACTTACGTGTATTCTCATTGTAGAAAGAAAGCTTAATAAGATTTATAAAAACTGTGAATGTTTGTCTGCGTGCTAGTGATAAAACTAAGATAAACTTTCTTCTATATCTGTTTCATTTACCAAGTGCTGATTGATGTATAGGCAAAGCTGTCATCGAATAAGAGATAACTAAAGAATAATTCAATTACACATTAACTATGTATCATTTGAGAGAACTTGTCATCTGTTGTTATATATATATAGGTTTCTGAGCAGGGGTGGTACGTTCCCGTTACTTTACTCTGAAAAGTAACGATTTTTCCGTAACTAGTTACTAATAACGGTAACGAAAATTCGTTACTACTTACTAGTAACGAGTAATGGAAAGTTACGGTAAAAGATTCTTTTTGTTGTTTCGATAACTCCTTATTTGTTTTGTTAAACTTCTCTAATTGATAAAAAAAATTTATTTTCAAACATTTCATGTTTCTACCTTGAAAACTGTGTCAAATCTAAATTACTCTAAAACAGATGCAGAGTAATTTTAGAAATAACTGTAATTCTGTAAACTTCATGTACTATTGCGCTGAATAATTCTCACGTTGATTTAAGTTTCAAAAATCTATCCTTTTTTTAATTCAACGTTTCTATAAGGTTCAAAAGGCTAACAAATGAATTAACGGGTATAATAGGTATACAGGTATAATTAACGGGTGAATAGTGTTAGTGAGGATAACTACAGTTCTACAATTAGCTTGAACCACTTTATTGTTAGTCAGCTCTACTGTGGAAGAAAAGGAGTAATAATATTCTAGCTAAAAGAAATGATCAATAGAATGAAAGTTGTATCCTTTTAAAAAGTAATTAACTTTTTTTCATTATAATTTTTATCATAATGATACAGTTTGATAGTATTTTTCACACTAGAATTATTTCCTATGTATGTGATCCATGATACTAAACTATTCACTAGAAAAAACAATAACAATAAATTGTACAAAAAAACATCAGATCATTCAAAATGAGTACTAAAAAAAGAGAGATTAAAAAGAAAAATGCGTAATAATTGAAAAAATGTTGATATATACGTTATATTTTGTTGCACAATCCAGATGAATATCCAGATAAATATTAATTTTTTATCATTTCACGATCGATTGCTTGAATTTCATCAAGTTTACGAGTAAAAATTCGTAAAAGTTTTGACGAAAATTCATCCTGAAAATCAAATATATGTAAAAAAAGATTATTGAATATGATGTCAAATTTACCTGAGAACTAATTAATTTCGATATCTTTCGTTTCACTTTCATATCTTTGTCAAGACTTTCATGGTTGTGAGATGCTGACTATAGTATAAAGTTAATAAGAATTTCTTTTTTTATCATCCTTTTCTTTATGTAAGTATTACCTGAAAACTTTCGTCTGTTGTTGACATAATATCATCAAGATCATCTTGTGTTAAATTTAAGATTTTTTTGCTAATATTCATTGCATTATCGTAACCAGGCATTGATATTGAAAATGATTCTCGTTGTTTTTGTTGTTCACGTGTCCGTCTAATATTGTCCATCATTTGATTACTACGTTGAATCATTTCATTAATAAAACCCTAATAATGAATAACATTCATATTTAACTTGTTAATTAATATAGCAAAAATTTCAAAACTACCGTGATAAATTTTTCATGTTCATTTAATCGTTTATGTGTATGACTTAATTCATTATTCATTTTACTCAATGAATCTTGCGTTTTCATATTAAACGTAATTAATTGTTGTTCAGATAAATGTCGACAATTAACTATTTCATTGTTCAATTGATCATTATTCAAACGACATTGACGCATTTGTTGTTCACTATACCTTAACTTTGACTGAATATCATCAAAACGGACTTTCTAAATAGAAATGAAAATAATGTTATGATTTGTTAAAAACTATTGACATTGATCGTTCATAAATTCAACCGAATTAAGTGGTCTAGACTACTACCTATTCGCAGAAGTTACATTTATTGAAACAAATAAAATATCAATTAGCCATTATCTGTCGAAATACCATCACATGGGTTAAGTCTCCCACTGAGTCATATCAGAAAACAATGCAAAAGAGTATTACAACTAGAATACCATACGGATCTATCTGAACTAGAAAAAATATTTTAAAATTGACTTATCTCAAGAAAAAATGGCAAGAAACATTTTGTTTTTGTATTGCTAAGATGACTGCAGCACTGAACGTCACAAGCAGTCATAAAATAAGGGCGTGTATAGAGATTGCTTTTTTCAAATGCATACGATTCTACGCACATCATCTAGAACAGTCGGTTTGACTGTTGATTATTATTCGAAAAACGTCAGTGATCTTCTAAGACTAGTATCAGTCTTAAAATTTGAGACTTATATATTTTTCACTTGAATGTGTTTTTCATAGACTGAATCTCACATATCAGTCTATGGACCAGAAAAAGAAATTTCAAGTAGATCTGATTTTGAATCAGTCTCAAAAGTTCGTGGACTTAAACTAGACTGGCTTGAAAATCTTGATTTATTAATACAACACTCTGCAATTAGAAAAAGTCAATCTTATATGACTGATAGTTACCAATTTTTGTAATTCATCAAATGTTTCTAAATAACGAGCATCTATTGTTTGCTTATCTCTGGTTATTGCTTGTAGACGATGTTTGTATGAATCAATCTGTAAATATACAAAGTCTTCTAATATCTAATTATTTTAAGTTAGATAAAATACATACCGACACTCTTAATCTTTCATTTGTTTCATTTAATGTTTTTAATCGATCATCATCAATGCCCTATAAAATAATTATATAATGTTAATTCACATAAGATATCATCCAAGTTTTGTTTCTACCTCTTTATTCGACTTTTCACCCGATTTAATTAGATTAAGTTCCATTTCATTTGTACGTACTTTATAATTTTCAATCAATTGTCGTTTACTCACAATATCTCGTTCCATATGTTGTAGTCTACACATAGCAAATAAATAACAAAATATATTTATTTGAAATTTTAATATCAATTATCGTAATATTATGTAATAATGACAAAATAATACTTTCATCGATCTTATAAACTATTTCTGTATCATCTAAAAAACACTAATAATAGTTCTTACTTTTCAGTTAATGTTTGAACATTTCGATTCAATAAATCATTTTCCGTTTGTAATGTCTTATTTAATTTTCGCTGTTTTGATGCATCAAATGAAGTATTCTAAAAAATGAAAAATAATTATAAATATGTGTACTGCAGAGAATAAGAAAATAAAAAAATTATACTTTTAATCGTGTTTGCAAATTATCAATATCATCTAAACTATTATTACTATTGATTGAACGTCTTGTGTCTTGTGCTGATACTTGTAATTGACTATTCACATAATTCATATCATTTTTCAATTTTTCACATTCATCCATTAATCTCTAGAATAAATACATAAATATCTAGATGAAAGGCAAGTTAATTAATTTGAGAAAACTTTTAATTTGTTTTTCACAACACACAAGTGTCACAAACTTGATTTGTCATTTTCAAATTTGCTATTCGATTTAAACACGATGATAAACGTTTATTTAATTGATCATTTTCACCCTTTATATTATACAATTCTTTTTCAACATAACGAAGGTATGATGTACGCGATGATCCAACCTAAAACATATACTTTTATAATCAAAAACTAATTTAGATCAGAGATGCATGAGAAATCCATTTTTCAGAATCTACTCTACTCAGTTCGACCACTTTAGAAATCATCCTTGTCAAAAAGAAAATTTTTCACTCCTCGAGAATTTCGTAGCGTCACTTTGAAAATGTTTCGTGTAACACTTTTTTTGCCTCTTTGATGTCGATATTGTTAAATTTTTCTACTTGCAAGGCGTCATGATTTATTTCAGAACACTTTGTGTACTGCATATAGGCATGTACCAGTTACAGTTAACTGTAAAACTGTAACTGTCATAACTGTAGGCAAATATTCTAGAGTGAAACATTATATCTGTTCAGGGGTCGAAGTTTTATTATTGATAAGATAGTAACAGCAGCTGTTTTTCGATTCATCTTTATTTAATAAAAATTAAACTTATACTCCTGAACAGATATATATATAGTGTTTCAAAATATTTATGGCAGCATTATGGGGTCTCAACTGTTATTCAGCCATATTCGTTTTAACTTTATATCGTGTTAATTGTCTCTATTGTCTTGATAATGAAAATTACAATTTTCGAAACGTCGACTTTATTTTTATAAAAAGATTTATTTTAAAAAAAATTTTAATTTTAATTTTAATTTTTATTAAATAAAGATGAATCTAAAAACATTACTATCTTATCAATTTTAGAGTAAGTTAGTATTCTACGATTTGCATACATTTTGAGAATAGAGACATTCTTAAAATGTATGCAAATCGTACAAGACTACTCACTCTGGAATATTTGCCTACAGAGCAATTACAATTTTCACAGTTACAGTTATCAGCAGTTTTACAAGTACAGTTAACTGGTAAAAAACTGTAACTGGTGCGTACCTAACTGCACACAAGAATAAATCAAACGCGTTATATTAAGTTTTTTGCAGAACGAACAACGATAATATTATTTACTGTTTCTCAGTTTGAATTAGAACGTCATGGGAGTAATGATCACCTCCGTAGCCGGGAAAAAGTCGCTTCGCGCCGGTGACAATCCGCGGGAAAACCCCCTTCATCAGTTTGGAAAAAGCAACTATTTTTTTTACTAAGTAGTTTTAATTAAATGCTAAGCTAATTTTTGTTAATTCTTACTTTAGTAAGCTATATTTTTGTGTGCCTAGGAGCGGTTGTGGGGGGAAGGTACGTGGAGAGCATGAGAGTGAGTCACTAAACCACATTTTTGCAAAAAATGTAATTATTTTTAATAAATTAGTTAGAAAAAAAATAACTTTTTATTTAGCATTTAATAAAAATTACTTAGCATTTAAATGGGAGCCTTTGGAAAATATCCCTACTCCGTCCACTGACCAAAGAACATTTTTTCCTCTGGGGGTTCTCTGTGCATTTCTGATTTAGATTACTAGAAAATATAAAATCAACAATTTTACTATCTGCATCGAAAGAACGATAAATGAATACACTGTTGTGTTCTAAATTAGTCAATGAAAAATTACTCACTCTCTTTTTGGAATTAAGTGTTTGTAGACTACTATTAAATGTAGATGTTGCTGTTTTTATCGGTGAACTTTTTGACACCACTGGAAATGTTCTTTTTGTCGCTGATAAACGAACTTTATTATTATAATTTTTCGATAATGAACAACCTACAAAAGAATAATATACACATCGATACTGTCATATTATCGAAAATAGTTGTAGTTAGATCTTCAATATTTGTAGTTTATATTTCAAAACCATAGCTATAGTCTTATTTAACATGTTTTATGATGAAAACATCTTAGCTTCAATTCTTAGTTCAAAACACGAACTTCGTATCGAATCAAATTTATCCTTTTCTAAAAACAAAAACTCACATTTTTTCATTGTTAATGTCGAATTTCTTCTTGTTCTATATCCAGGTAGTTTTCTTGATAATGTTTTGTTATGATCATCGTCACATAAACTACATGCCCGTCGTTTCTTTGATGTAAACGTATCTCGGTTGAAATTTGATGATGTTTCACTGATTGATTTAGCTGATGTAACACGATTAAATAATTGATGAGGCTGATCTAAATCATCTACGAATGAATTATCGCGTGACATTGGATTTTGTTCAAGTAGCACTTCCAAACATGATTTTTTTCTTTTGTTATTATTAGTCATTTTTCGTCTACATTGTTTTAAATCTTGCTGACATTTAGACAAATTTTGTTTTAAATTTCGAATTTCAATTTGATTTTGATTACGTTGTTGAACTAATTGATTTTTTTCATCTACGCTTAATTCTAAATTTGTTTTCAAACGTTCATGTTCAAAAACGAGACAAGTACGTTGAGTTTCTAAATCATATAATTTTTTGTCTAATTGTTCAATTAGATGTTGTTGCTCTTGTCGTTGTTTCTCTTGTTCACGTTGTTCCATGTGTAAGTTATCGTTATTTATCGTAGAAGATGGTGTTGGAATGTAAATGATTTTCTTTTTATCTTTCTCATCATTTAAATGTTCTATTTCATTTTGTAGTTCGCTAATTGCTACTGATTGTTCATTCAATTCAACCTGTTGTAAATCAATTTTTTCTTGCAAACTCATACTAAAACAAAACGAGTAAAAAAAATGCTCATTATTGATAACAACAAACTGAAAATATTCATTTACAAAGTCCAAGATAATTTACACAAAGACTCGTCATACTACTAGATTCGAATATTCAACATACTTTTCATTCGTTAAATGTGTATTTTGTCGTCGAAGTTTTCCAACTTCATTCCAAACACCATCATCATCTTCTTGTTTTAATCGAACTGTTTTTGTTGTTAATTTAGCATTCTTACTCCATCGACGATCACATACAGAACAACCATTTTTAAAATTTTTTGGTTTTTTATAATCATAATCATTAGACTGTTGTTCGTCAATATAAGATTGTAATTGATCTTTTACAAGACGATATTGTTTTTGTAACTGTTTTAAACGTAACCATCGCTTATCATGAACTTTTTTCAATGTTCCAATTTGTTCGTCACGTTTAACAAGTAAATTTTGTACATTTGTTAAACGATTTGTTAACGTCTGAATTTTTTTTTGCAAAAATTCAGTATCGATACGATCGATATCATCGTCAATTTGTGGTTGTTGTTCATGTCTTATAGGACTGTGTGCCGATAATGTTCGATGAAATAAATTAGACGATTTTGAATCTCTAAATAGATATAAAAAGAAATGATCTAAATCTGCATCATTAAACATAGAAAACTTGAGGTATTAGTAATCAACTAAAATTTTACTCTTCTATCTAGAGTCGGCGGTGGCATGGATTCTCAAAACTTTCTTCCGGTTTCGGCGGCCATCTTTACTTCTATCCAGATACGGATGGAATGGCTTATCCGAATGTTTCAAATCTAACAAGGAAATCTTTCTAGCTTTTTTAATTAATACTAGTTTTTCGAGGGTAATTCTTGATACTGAACACGAATCCGATGTCCGTTTGTACCTTTATTGAGCTTTTGAATGATCTTTAGAAGTCTGGTCTCTAGAGACCAGACCCATCATGAATCTGAAAATCAAGAGATTCTGATCTGACCAGCCTGTAGAGCTCATCGAGTTACCTTTGTGGAATTTTTTTTTAAGTACCAGGCACATTTTAATTGAGTTATAAAAAAGTTAACTATAAAACGCCTGAAAAAGTCAACTATTTCGCTGTATTTAGGATTAATATTTTTATAACTTGTTCAGTAGTTTCCAAAAATTTTTCCTCTCGTATCCTACTTCAAACTGTCTAAAATTGAGTCTTTGGTTCGTTGCACAATCCTACTTTCTCGATAAATGGCGTCCAATATCTTCGCTACAACTTCGCCATCGATTTTGTTCCAATAATTGACCCTACAAAAAAAAGTAGTCTTTTTTTTTCTTAATTGCTGACATAAGTAAACATTAATAGATGTGAATCTTACCGGTTGTAAAGTGTCGCGGACACGTCGAAGTGTAAGTTTTAAATTGTCGATTTCTTTTTCTTGTTCTCGTATAGTCTAAATGAAAATGAAACTGCATGAAAAGATAAAAATGAAAATAAAAACATACATTTTGCAATGCAGCGATTTCTACATGGAATGATCGTTCTTGTTGCTCAACATCTTACAAAAAAAGAAAACATTTATACATATATTTCAGCGATAATTTTAAAATAAAAAAGACGTAAAATACTTGTTCTAGTCTTGTGTGAAACGTTTAGTTCTCTTCTAAAAAAAGAAACCATAAGTTGTTAAAGTTTGAAAAATGAATAATTTGTATGTTTCATACTGCAAATCGTCTATAGTTTTTTCGCGATCATTTATAATATTTCTATAAGAATCAAGTTTTTCACGCCACAAATTTGTTTCAGCCACAAATTGTTCAAAGTTCTTGCAAAAGAAGAAACAATTTTATAAAATATGTAGATATTTTCTGAAAAAACTTACTGAAACTTTATCTTGGTTAAATGCGTGCAAATCATTTGTTTCCTCATATTTCAAACGTAATTGATTTGTTAATTCATTGACATGATCACACAAACCTAAATATAAATCATAATTTGTATCAATAACAAAATCAGAAATTGAAAAAAAAAGTTAAAAACTTACGTTCGTTTTCTGATTGACAATCTCTTATTGTTTTTTCAAATGTGTTCACTTGCAACTGATGTAGTTGTTCAAATGTTCGTGTCTGGAATAAACAAACTAATGAACACGCATAAAATAAGAAATTAGCTCTTTTAGTCTACCTTCTCTTCAAATAAACGGAGTTGTCCTTCTAATGAACGAAAATCATTACTTTTTTTTGTTAATTCTTCTTCTAAATTTAATTCTCTAAAAAATAGTTTAATAAAAATTTTTACTGAACTAAATACTACTACTATTGCTTACCGTTCTTCTAATTTTGCTATTGATGCATTTTTTTCTTGAATAACTTTTTGAAGTTTTTCAATCAATTGTTCTCGATTTCGTGTTCTTATATCTTCGTTAGCTTGTAAAGATATCCCTTGTTCACTGGAATTTCTATATACAGTGAAATAAACATCGCGATCATAAACTATTAATTTATGTTGATCTTGTTAAAAATTACCTAAGGTCTTCTGCTGACTGTGGATTTGTCGTTGTAAACGGTGAAGAGAAGCTTGTCATCTGAAAGCAACTGTTTTATAAGACCTGCAACAGGCGATGGTGTATATAAACGTGTCAACCAGCTTACCGAACACTACCAATCTTTTCCCAGATAATCTAGAAATTATTCTCTGTTCGATCATTGATCGATGCGTAGAGACAGTGACACAAGCAGTATTCAATAATCTTCCATTGAGGCGCTTTCTTCTAATCTACTTAAACTTTTTCTGAGGGTTATTTGAAAATCTCTTATTTTCTTTTTCTATTACATACAAGTGCTTCTACTTAGAAAAATACATAGCATGTGGAAAGGAGTGTATTGCAGATAGGCATATGACCGCGATGAAAAAAGAGAGTTCTCAAAGTTTTGATCTGATGGTAAAATAGAAATTTTAGAAATCTCTCAGCATTCTGATTAAAGAGGATTTATAGCTTATAGTTTTTTATTTTGCTGATAATGTGAAAAATCGTCTTTTCTTCATAAAGTTTTGCTCTAAACTCAACACCAATACATGCACTCGATTCCTCTCGGTATTTTCTATCGAATGACATTTGAATCAAGTCTTGATCATTAATCATTAACGAAGTTTCAGCTCAGAGGCTTTATTAGTATCTCTGTCATTTTGTCGGATCAACAGAATCGTATCGACAGTATTTTGAATTTTTTCTTACAACGTCAGATATAAGACTTAGATTATGTATAATACGCTATTCTCGCTACAGTGAGATATAACATATCTTAGTATGAACAAGGTAAAAGAAAACGAATTGAACAAAGGACCTCGATGCTCTCTAATATCATTTACAGCGGAGGATAATCGCTACTGGTTTATAAAATCGCTATGGTGGAAACGTCTATAGAATTCCCAATATGGAAAAGTCCTTGGCCAAAACTCAATTATTTGAACTGGATACTTGACCACTTATCATCCCTTTAGTTGCCCCATTCAGTGCAGGAGAACATTTCTTAGGGCTTTCTTCACATGCTACGCCATTTTCCTTTAAAAGCAAATACCAAATTACCATAGTGTTGGGATGTGCGATGAACATATTTCTTTCACATTTCTTCGGAACTTTTAATTAAACTGAATAAATAGTTAATTTTTAAAGTGAGATTTAAATGAGGAACCTATGGTCGAAAATGCATAAGCAAACTACTTTTTCAAGAAGAGATCCAGCGCTGGAGATTTATAAATTAAGTTGTTTTCCGTTAAAAAAGATTGATTGCATTGTCTAGTTCACAGCGTTTAGTTAAATAGGGAATCAGAATTAGTCCGATTCCCTCTTACGCTTTGGTGGGATTTTTTATTTTTGAGGAGGCGCAGAATATTGTCAAGCAAACTGTCTGATTTGTTCCTTGCGATTGTCTCTCTCTCTATCTTACCGTTGGCCTCTCGATCTGTTACTTTCTCACTTTTGCACTTTTTCTTTCATTCATTTCTCTCATCTTCATTTCTAGACAGTTTATAGTGCGAAAAAAGACGTTTTTTCCTTTTATTCCCTGTTTTGCTTTTAATTGTACTTGAACGGTTTGGTTTGTATTCTCCGATTTTGTTGAAATTTTTTCTGTAAGGTGTGTGAATTTTGTATTGTTTGTGGGAACAAGAATTAACTTATTTTCCAAACTTTTTAAATATGTTTCTTATTTGCCGATAGTTACGTTTGGATACATTTTCAGATAAACAGCTCGAAAAGAATCTATTTTTACATTAATTGGAAAAGAACTACCAAAAAAGTAAGTGTAAAAACTAGTTTCTTGATCTGATTTATTTATTTGGAAGAATTTATCATTTCTTTTAGCATGGCTCCGAAAAAAGCACAGAAAAGCGCAGAAGTTGAACCGGAACAAAATATGAATGACCATGATACACACACACGAAACAATAGTCAAAGTAAAAAGACGCCTAATGGAAAACAAGGATCATCAGTCAAAGGCGGTAGTAGTAGTGGAAAAACTGGTAATTCAATTCGGAAAAGAAAGCCAGAAGCACAAGCATTAGAAGAAGATGCTGCATTATTCGTTCATCCAAAAACAAATGCACAACAGGTAAATAATTGTTTCAACTAAAGTCACGTTCAGAACTAAGACTACGACTGTTTTATTCACGAAAAGTGAGAGTCATCAAAGGTCACCGATCTGTAATAACAATGACTCAAGCCAAACAACACAAAAAGAGTAATAAAAAATAGCAAAATAAAGAAGGCAACTAAGGTTAGAACTAGAAGTAGTAAAAAAAAAATATTTAAAAAATAAGCAAAAAAGAACAAATATGAATTCTTAATTGACAAACGTTTCACTGGAAAAGATACTGAAGGAAAGCTGCTTTGAAAGACATTAAAGAAGAATGACGAATAACTATATCCGTCGCTCGTATTCTCTTCAGTTCTCTCCATTTTTCTTCATTTGCCATGTGCATGAAGTCTGCGAGAATCGATTTAGATTTCATGTTGACATTTCTGTTCGAGCAAGTCGATTAAAAAGTTGCGCATATAAACACTCAGCCTAAACCGATGTAAATAAATCAAACGTCGAGATTGATCGAGTTGAGAGCGTTGGAACAGTACTTAGAGAGTTTCGTTATTTAATACTAGCTGAATAATGATTATTAATTTATTTTTAGGCTGACGACTCTGCAGAAGACGATAATGAAAAAGAACAACAACAGAAGAAACCAGCAGGAAAGAAACAAACGAAAAAAACAAATTTACCTAATAATGGTGAAAAAGATAATCAAATAGCAAGTCGAGCAGGAAAAGGAAGAAAACAGCAAAAACCTGCAGAGGAGGATGAAGAAGGTAAAAAACTAACGTTAACTATTGGGAATATGAACTTCATGCTTCTTGAATGGTGTTCGAAATAAGATATCAGCTGAGATTTGTTTTTATACACTATTTGCAGAACTTCAATAATACGTGTTGATTTCGAAGATCGTCCGAACGATGTTCAAATCTTAACGGACTACAAATCATTTATATTCTAAAAAGCACTGATTTCCTTCTGAGAAGTTTGGTGACAACTCTTTACTTCTTCATAAATTAAGCAGTTAGATTGACTCTCTATTCTAGGTACTGATAATGGTGTTGTTGGAGATGTACCCGCTTCTACAAAAAAGAAAATCGGCGCTGCTGCAAAGCCCACGGCATCAAAATCAAAACGTGTTAATGTACATGTTCATTTATTATCTGATTCTTTTTTTGTTTGACATTAAGTTTCTGCTTATATTTTAGGCAAAGAAAAGTGACAATGAAAAAGACGGTGAAGAACAACAAAGTAATGATGATGATTTAGACCAAGAACAACAGCAACCAAAAGGCGCTGCTGGGAAAAAAGTGGGTGCTAATGCTAACTCTGGCAAAAAACCAGCACGCGGAGGAAACAAAGTAGGTTACTTTCGCAATTCTTGAAGATACTATGCATGCTGATTTGTTGTTTTTTTTTCAGAAAAAATCACCTGCAGATGAACCGGAAGAAGAAGACGGTTATAATAACAAAGACGGAGAAGACGCCAAAGGTAAAAAAATGATTATCTAAATTCATCTAGAGATAGAGATTAAACGCATGCTTGACTATAGATTATGTTGTTCCGTTGCTTGATTTTTACCAGAGGTTTGATCAAAATCCTTCTTGCTAGAGAAATAACCCTTTATGTACGTCTAAGGTTTAAAGTTGCAAGAATAAATAGGCCCTATTGTTCTAGATAATAAAAGTACTGATGGAAAAGCTGCACAGAAAAAAAAATCGGCTACCGCGACCAAAAAATCTGGTAGATCAGCAAAAAAACCGTCCTCATCGGCATCGGCAAGTGAAAATGAACCAGAGTCATCTGATAAAAATGTTGATTTAAGTGATGATGAACAACAGCAATCAGATAAACAAAAATCTGGTAAAGGAAAAGGTCGTCAACCCACAAAACGAAAAGGTAGAATTTTTTTGTTTATTATAGACATAGATTTTAGATTTTCACGACATTTTTTAATATTGCTTCAATTCATTCTGTCTTGAATATTTTAGCACCAATAACCACAAAATCGAAACAAAGTGAGGAGCCGCAATTTACAGATAATACAAATGGAGAAACTGATGAAGAAGAACATGAAGGCGGTAAGAGATAGAAACTGCACTTGTAAAGTTGCTTATTTAGATCAAATTTGATACCGTTTTTTTTGCGAACGCAAAATTGCACACTCTATGACAATTCGTCACATTTTTCTTGTATAATACCTGTGCAATCATAATATTCTCTCTAAATATCAAACAAATTTCGTTCTTATGTGCTTTCTAGGCTCACCAGCAAAACAGAAGAAAACCGTACGGGGAGCTGCTGCTGGTAATAGTCGTGGTGGAAAAAAGAAAATTACATAAGTAGTTGTACTGAAATATTTGTTTATAAAGAGCATGCAAACAATGAAACATCGTCTAAAATGACTTATATCCAAAATGCGGGATGTATTTTTTCGTTTGTTACTGCAATTCTCGTTAATCATATGTTCCCTATAAACATACGCACACACCTATTCGCAAGTTTTTTTGTCCTAGAAAACAATTCTATATATATAATCAAATTTATCGTTTAATTTCTCTTCCTTTTCATGTTATTCATTATTTTTGTAATTCAGAATCTCGTCATATATTGTTTGTCTATATATGTGTTTATTTTTTTCCCTTTACTTTCTCTCTTCTTTTTTTGTGTTTGTTTTATTGTTACATCTTTTTTTTTTCTTTGTCGTATAAGGGGACAACCCCGTTCTTATGATATATAACTCAAAAAGAAACAATGTGTTTTCTCTATGTGTATATCTATCTTTCTACATTTATTTTTGTCAAATCAAGTGCTTTTTTTTCGCTGTACTATTTCGTTTTATTTTCTTCTTCTGTATTGTGTTCTGTAAGAAAACAAAATAAAGAAAGTTCCTTAGTCGTCGAAAAGAGTGTTTGCAACATTGAATGGAATAAAACAGAGACATTTGAAGTGCTTTTAAGTTTTTTTGGCTTCATTTTGTACGACTTCACTTTGACCATCATTATGGTGCACTCTCGAATTATTGCCGTTATCAAATCCGACGAACTGACTAAACATGTTAAGGATTCTTCTTTTTTAACGCACTAAAGCTAAATGAATTGAGTAAATACTTTTTTCCAGCTTCAGTACGATATAATAGCTTTTCAAATCAAGCCTATGGTTCGACGAAAAAGTATCGACTTTTGATCATTATTCATATTTAACGGTATTTCTCTTTTTTAATACAATTTTTTAGTTTAAGTTGAACGTAAATTAATGCAGAGGAGAGTTTGGGCTACAAAATAAGAACACTTTCAGCGTTTCAAGATCTGCTTAGTTATGGAATTTTTATAGTTTTGGTCAAGAGTCTGTAAAACGTCAATTTTTGTAGTTTTATTAATATTTTTGTTTTCAGAGCTTTCAGAATCTTTTCTTATACTTAGTCTGGTAGACCAAAGTATTCGCTTTATAATGAGATCACTTTCAAAATTTTGTAATGATTTTTTGTGGTTATATGAGAAAGAAAAAAGTGACCGGTTGAATGTTACCTGCAGTGCGAAAAACACCAGTGATTCCAATATAGTGTTACGACCAGAGTTGCCTGATGCTCGGTCCAGAAATGCAGAATAAAAATTCCAAAATGCGAAAAATTCTGGAAAATTTTGTCAGAATGCGAAAAGAAAATGGAAATGCATTTTCATGGTTTAACTTCATCCTTTTTCACGCGCAGTGAGTCAAAAAAATGTTTTCTCTAGCACTTGGCGATTTTACTCAATAAAACATAAGAGAACAACAGATAGAAATATAAATTTCGATTTTAATTAATATGCTGTTTTTTGACTGTATATTTTTGATTAGAATGAATAAGTTTAAGCAGTTCTAGCATTAATAAGAAAAAATGGCAAAAGAGATACCTTTTTTTGCAAACTCACATCCAGTTTTGTATTCCCTCCCCCCTGATGTTCACCTTGCAAAGTTAATTTGGACAGCTTTGTATGTCTTTTGAGAAGTTTTGGAAATAATTACAAATTTCAGTGCATGATAACGATGAGTTTCGAATTTTTAACTCAACTACAGTGATTTCGGTTGACATACGATTTCTTTTATCATCAAATAAGTGTTTCATGGCAGAAGGATGAGGAAGAGAATCCTCAATAGATAGAAGAAAAAAAATTTTACATCTTATATGAACAGGGGAGAAACAGTAAAAGCAGAAAATGCTTAAAATGCGGACAAATTGCGGAAATAATTCAAAAATCCGGAATTTGTCCACAAAATGCAGATCACCTAGCAACTCTGATTACGACCTCTTGAAAAACGGATCCGATTGAACACAAATTTTCATTACAAATATTTCCGATCCTATTTCAGGTTTTAAATATTTTTAAACATTTTCAGTTTTAACTTTCGTCTTACGAAGATTTTTAAAATCAAAAACCGAGTTTTTACAAAGGGTTTTCAGTATTTGTTGAATGTCTTCAAAAGGATATTATATTTATTTTATAACGTAGTATAAATGTGAGAGTAATAACAGCAATTTTCAAATTCATTTTAATTTTATTAAGTTAAAAATCATATAATTCTCTACGTTTCAGAAATACAACTTTCATTCTCAAGAATCATAATCGTAAAACGTTTAAGCATTAGAGAGAAGAAAATACGTATGAATAGTAAGAATGGAAGAGAGAAAAGACATATACATTGTTATGAGTGCTAGTCAACACTTTGAACAATAGACTATAATGCACCCAACCACTTGTTCGAGGGGTGCTTCAAGTGCTCGGAAATACGCTTTCGATGGGCCTTCGCCGAGGGCTCGAGCCCTCGGAAAATGGCACTCGATATAAGCTTTCGAGGAACGAGGGTTCGAAAGTCCCGAACATCTCTATTCGACGGCTCGCTGCCTATCTGAATCCCGAGGGCCCGAAATAGGTACCCCACGAAAGCTTATATCGAGGGTCCGAAGTGCCAATTTTCGAGGGATCAAAGGCCTATTTTCAAGTACTCGCCGCATCCCTCGAACGACTTTTTTCATCTGTATGAGTATGTGGATGGAGTGTGTAGCGAGTGACAAGATAAAATAATATAGACTATAAAGTAGAAACAAAAGAAGAAAACACGTTGAGACGATATTTGTTAAAGATGACGATTTCTTTTTCTATCATCCTGCATCGCCTACTTATAAAAAAAATCTTTAATGATAATAGGATACAAACCAAATCTAACTAACACTACGTTCTGTTCCACTTTTCATATATCCTAATGGAATTTTAAAAACGTTTTTACCATATTTAACCTTGCCTTTTACCTTTATAAAAGGAGGGAATATCCTTAAACCGACTGTATTTTTATATAGAATAGCATGCAGGTAACGCACTACATCATGGTAGTTCTAGAACGCTAAGTTAAGTTTTGTTATTTGTTAATTTTGTTGATTAACAATAAAAACTTATAACCATTGACCTGAAATGTTATCGCTTTTGGTTGAACTTTTTCGATTTAAGACTTTTTTTAACTTGAACTTTTACTACCACTTAAAAAATTTATCTTTTTGGCACGATAACGACTGATTGCTGCGCACGATCAGGACGTTCGTATCATCATCAGTGATTATTTCAAAATCTTGTTATGCTGCACTTTTTGTAATCAACAGAAATGAATGCTGGACCTTGAAGTATTGCTAAATCACTTACATAAAAGCTCGTTGTCGGATCTTTTACCGGTTTGTATGCTTTATTTATCATATCATTTTAAAATGAACAAATCTGGTTATCTGTTCATATGTAATAAAAAAAACTATATTTTCAAAGCATTATTATGACTACCTCTCTTTCATTTCTTAAAAGAATATCTTTTGGTTTTTCCGATGACAAGAAACTCTATTGAAAAAATGTTTGATGAAAAAATATCAAAAAGATGTTTTAAAAAACAGTTATAACGTAGTTTATACAACCAGAATGGATTATACCACCATCTCAAAACTCAAAAATGTGTTTTTTTTTATGAATAAAAAACTAAAATTTGTTTCTTTTACGTTTTTTCAATGATATCATTTTTGGTTTCTTTTAGAAATGAAACTACCGACATTTCATATCCTAGAATAAATCATGTAAATATTATATTTTGCTGCAAAAGTTGTTAGTTATATTAAACTATCAATGTTTTAGTACTGACATCAAGTCTTTTGAAAAGCTCTTCTGTTGTTGTACTTTATGTAAATTAGCCTTAAAGTACAAGCCGTTTATTAAGTATTATAGCCAGAACATGACAAAAAGAGAACATCTATTGATTTATTTTAAGGTTGTTCTCTACCAGTCGATATCAAATTTGACTGGAAAATGATCACTGATTGCCAATGCTTGTTGTAATGTTAAATCATGTAATAAATCATATCTTACTGTTGAATTACTGTCCGGAACAATTGCGTTTATAAAATTGTCACCATTAATTAATATTCTGTCATATGTACAACTTTGACGAACATTGGTTTTTACTTGATTATTGATCATCCATGTAAAATCAACAAAATGCATATTTCTAAAAACAATGTGCAAAAATAAGTGATGAAATGTGATTAATTGTGATATTCTACCTTAATTCTTGTTGACGTTTGAGTGATATATAACTACAATCAGCGTTAAAATCGCCAACAAGTAGTATCGGATGATTTGTTTTTAAACTTGGTTTATTTGTTGCTGTTGCGTCGATGACATTTTGTTCTAATATATCTGTTATTAGTCCATTATTGAAATATTGTGGATGTTTACGGATGAAATCATCGATTGCTTTGCGTAAATGAATTGTTTCTTTTAACGCATCATCTGGTCTGAGATGAACATTCATAATTGTGAAATAGTCAATATTAGATTTAAGAGGCTTTTTAACTTTAAACGTGGCAACGTATCTTTGAAAAAAAAATAAAGTATCTCAATAGAAATGAGGCATAAATAGAACTGTAATGAAAATTCAGTAGAGTGACTTTTAAGTGAACAACAGTGAAATGTTTGTTGAAAAACGATCAGCAAAGTCAAAATACTTACGGAGGTCGTTCAAAAAGTTTACTTGTATCTTCATAGACGTAAGCAGATATTAATTGAACCTGCGATGTTGATTCACGATTTAAATACGCATACTGTTCTTTTGTATTTGAATTTCCAAGTCTTGAGCTTAGTGACATGTCATATGTATTTGGTGCTGAAATTGTATTCAATGTATCAAGTAAGCGGAAAGGTGCTTGTTGATCAACATCGCTTATTTCCTGAATAATTGCTATATCAAATGTGTTCAGCAGCTTCGCGATGAACATGGTGGTGCTAAAAAAATAGGAACCATTTATTTCAACAAATTTTAGTAAATTTCTCTGACCCGTTTCGTTTTCCTCAGATAGAAACTAAAGATTTACCAGGGCGCCGCATGAATCGTGTTTTTTTGTCAGCCCGTATCCTCTGTATTTCGTTCTGAGCCCGCTCGTTTCGGCTCGGTCTCACTCATCAATTTTTTTCTCTCTTTTTAAATAAGCGACGTTAACAGCACTTAACATTATTACAAATGTTACAAAATATTCCGCTTCGGAAATGACGTGATAATGCCTACTTTTCGTATGCTGCCACTAGTAGTTAATAAAAGTTTTTCTTCGTGATTCTAATATATTGGATCGCCTTCTTTCCATTCATGAAAAAAATTAACTAATTCATTTATTATTAGACGTTTTCACGGATAAAAAACTGTTTTTTAGTCTTTAAAACCTGGTATAAAACGGACTATTGGAAAAAAGCGAATCTCTTATTCATAGCGTCAGTTACGTATAATACGATTGGTTCTGTCCCAAAAACGATCTAACACTTTTGGCGGTTCTCGCGTCAGTGTCGCAGCACCTAAATCTTTTAAAACATCATTGATGTTCGACTCTACGAATCCGAATATCACCAGAAATTGCATAGATGATTGGCGATTACTGGAAAACGTTCGACGTTAGATTTAGCTATTTGACTCCACATTTTGAATTTTACTCATTTCTCAAAACATTTTCGTCTTTCTGACTAAAGATATTGTTATCCTAGCATTTTCCGTTTAGATCCATACACTTGTGAATATAATAGGAGACTTTTTATGTAATATTCTACAACATAATAGCTCTCTTTCAGTTCTAGATCCTGAAGTGAATCTGACTTCGACTCTATCAGTTTGCACTGTGCAGATTAACTGATTGAAGAGAAAATAATTACCTTGCATTTGCTGCTTTTGCTTTTCCATATTGATGTAAGTTAAACGATCCAATACGAATAGCAAATGAGCTGGCACACAGCGATATTATCAATGCAATTATGGCGAACATGTTCATTGTGTTAAACTAGATAAAAACATATATTATTTTATTTCAAGACGAGAAAAGTCTTATTTCAGACTTCCTGTTCTACCTGTTCGCTTTCTAAAAATCAGTGAATGCTCAGCATATTCGATCTGTATATATTTATTGTCGATTTTAATCTTTTAAATACTGACTTCATTTTTCTTGATAGTTATTTCTTTACAAGATTGAATTTCATTCTTTTCAGATTGAGGATTTGCAAGTACGATTTTCATGGCTTTTGTTTTTGTAAACTGATACTGAAAAACCCATTTTTGCCCTAAAATACTTATTTACTGTTTTTTCTACGTATTACTATTGATGACTATGTTGTCAGGTAATGCTAAAAGTTAATATTGTACTACATCTTTTGACATGACATCTTGACTTTTTTTCTAACATTGATGCTTTGATAAGTATCTGTCATTTGACGAAGCAATCACGTCGAATAAACTTTATGATTTATCAATCCAAGTCATTGTGTAGAAAATTCATTTAGCTAATAAACAAAATAGCCAACTTAAAGATACTCTCATAATGTGCATCGAGGCAGATATTTGACCAAAAATTGAAAGTATGCCTTTTCAGGCTTGAAATAGGAGAAAACACACTTTGAGAAATGGGCTAACTATTGTCGAAAGAAGTGTTGTTCTAGCTGTTATGGATCATGAGGAAAATACTTACGAGGGAACATTCCCAAGTGACACACTCCGATTTCATTCGTTCGTACGTCGATCGATAGAGGATAGTGAGCTAGTAAGAAGCCTAAAAGGATTCGTGCTCTTGGCTCCTGGAGACCCCGTTTTCTGGAAAACCAGTTTTTCAGAAACTTTAAAAAATAACCAAAACCTTTTCTTGATGATACATGCTTGTAGCCCGCACATTTCTGATTAAAATGAGACGTCTCCCAGCTCTACACGATCTTTCTTTGCAAAGTTATAGAATTTACAAGAAAAGCCCTAAATTAATTTCTTCTCATTTCTGTAGCTTTGAGCTGACAATGAACATTTAGGGCTTTTCTTGTAAATTCTATAACTTTGCAAAGAAAGGTCATGTAGAGCTGGGAGACGTCTCATTTTAATCAAAAATGTGCGGGCTACACGTATGCATCATCAAGAAAAGGTTTTGGTTATTTTTTAAAGTTTCTGAAAAACTGGTTTTCCAGAAAACTGGGTCTTCAAGAGTCAAGAGCACAAATCCTTTTAGCCTTTTTCTTATCTCAATATACTCTATCGAATGAGATATGAATGAATCGAAACGGAGCGTATCACTTGGGAATGTTCCCTCGTAAGTGAATTGCAAGAAGAAGAGAGTCATCATGAGATTGCCAGATTCACAAAAAAAGTCGTAACCGCTTTTTACGATCGTGAGACGAGACCCGAAAATCCTAAGATTTGATAACATTTTTGTAAGATCTTACTAAGATTATACTATCTAAGATTTTTTCAAGCGTTAATCTTTGACAGTATAATCTTAGTAAGATCTTAGAAAAATGTTATCAAACCTTAGAATTTTCGGGTCTCGTCTCACTATCGTAGTAAGATTTGTTTAAGATCTTAGACAAATGTAAGCGAAACCTTACTAAGATCTTAATAAGATTTTTCTAAGATCTTAGTAAGATTGGAGTAAGTTTTTCACTAGGGTCTCTTTCTCTTCAGTCTCTCATTGCAACTGACACTACATCATATACCTATTCACTAACGAGGGAACCTTCTCAGGTATAACCCTCCTTTTCCAATGCAATCCGTATGGATGGATTGCGTACCTAGTGGTAGTAAAAAGCCTAAGAGATTTTATTCAGAAAGCTCTTCAAAAATTCGAGCCATTTTTCTCATTTTCTGAGCGCAAATCAGCCAAAATAGACAAATTCATATCTCGGCCACGGTTAACCTTTCGACCGGTTATTTGCGGTTACGGCTAACGGTGAATAACCGTGACTGTTGCATGCCTGCTGACTGAGTCAAAAAGTTATATTTTTAAGTTTTTCTAATTTAATGCTGCAATGGCCGCCCAAATCACTCAAATGTTGTTCATACGAACTTTGTTCTTTCAGAAAAAAGAAGATTGGAGTCTCTAAAATTTATGAAATTCACAGTGTGGTTCCGATCATTTTTACCGTTTATTTGCACCTCAAATTATGAGAAATCTGTCTAATTTAGATACTAACACATTTATTTTTTATGTTCAAAGGTGATGTTGAGTGTTTGGATGGTGTAGACGAACAGAAATCATTGATTGATGAAAACATCAAATTACCTGCTATGTTATCAAATAGCTCAATATGATTGTGATCAACATTTGTGTGGCAAAGAGCATTTTTCGTGTGGTGAAGGAACATCAATAAAGACTATCCCATAAAATTCGCATTTTTAGATGCCCTCTAACTTCCAGCTTAAGACTCCCTGTACGTCCATTCAAAAATTATTTTTAATTGTTTCCACATAATTACTACTTCCTGTACAGTTGTGTTGTATATCGGCAGTGACCGCCATCAGTTTTACTGCTGCACTATAACGCACGTGGATAGATTTTCAACTCAGTTTAGGCGGTTCTGCAATTCTTTTCCATTCGTTCAGCATCGTGCCTGACGCTAAGCAAGCAAAATTCTTCCAGTTTCCAAATATAAATCGCTTTTCATGGTGTTTTTCTAAAACTATCCACAAGGATTCAGCTGACACTTGACAAAACTAAGTGTTTTAAAATTGCCTTCTAGTAAAAACCTTTTCACAAGTGGAACTCTTCCGAACGGATAACGTTTAGGCAGAAACTATTGTGGGATTTTTTAATTTTGTTCAAGTACGGAAAAGAAGTTTTCAAAAAGGAAAGAAGTTAACTTAGAAAGATAGAGTTCTTTCTCGACACTCAAGTTTATCTTTCTTTAGACTACGAAGATGACGCATCTGGCCTAAAAAGCAAGGTCATAAAAAGTTAACATTTTTCGAAGAAAAACCAAAACAAACAAAGTTTTATAAATTTCCTTCAAATGTTGAAAACTTTCAACCACCTGAATCCAAGCGTTCTTAGTGGATGATCCCTGATGGGCAATGTATTTTATGGTACAACTATTTTAATCCTGCTATACAGTGTTAGAACGCACGTGATACGTATGCAAATTGTGAATCAAAAGAATTATTCTCTGATTCACATGGTCATTGCAACAGAGCAGAATTTATTGAACTAGATAGCATCAATTCAGATGATAGTTGTTTATTGTTCATAAAATGTTTGTTATTATTTGACACTTGGGGACAGTATTTTGTCGAGTGTTCAAAAAGTTCAGATATGCCTTTTAAAGATATATTAGAATATATCAGATCAGATCTGTTGAAAAAATGTCTAAAGGACATTTTTCCATATTCATCAAATAAAAGACTATTATCACCATTAATTCATCTATATTATACTCGTCAACAATTCCTTATTAATCCAAATTATGACCTTTATTTTATTGCCGATTTTGTTATACCAACGGCCAGATTACCAGGCCTATTTTGCTTAGCGGGTGCATTTAAATGTTACGGTCAAACACAAGTAACATATTATGAAGATGAACCTAAAAATCGGACATGTTTTCAGTATTCCGATATATACAGTCAACGATTGAATTATTCTTTTCCACCGTTTGAATATTTATTTTGTCGACATGTTAAACCAGGAAACGACTATTGTAATGATATACAAAACTACTATCATTGTCCATTATCGAATGAATGTATTTCAAATTACCGTTTGAATGACGGTTTTGTCGATTGTATTGATCAATCTGATGAGAGACCACTCAGCATTCTCGTTTGAACAAGACTAAATTCTTAAAAGACAGATTTTACTGTGAGACAAATAATCAAACAGTTTTACTTCACTTCTTGGGTAAGCCGATAGAATGCGTATTTATTACATTTTTAGTATTACAGATGTTGACAGAAATGTAGTTTTTTTTGATATTTGAAAATTTCACATATATAGCTCACCCTCGCCCTCACCTCTTCAGAGTTTGAGCTATATATGTGGAATATCAAAATATTTTTGATCGACAGGATCGACTGCAAACTGTCTGGTGAAGACAGAACGTTTTCATTACGCTGACGCAACTGAAGTTAGAGTACTCAACATAGTACCTACATATATTACTTCGACATTCATCCTGAAATATGAGAAAGCCACATTATCATAGAAGACTAGTCTTCTTGAGCACCAGTTTATATTAGGCATACAACGATAACGATTATTGGCCCTTACGGATAAAACACTTCTGCGGGTGATCGCTTAAGCAGTTATTGACTCGTGTCACTGGATCTAGTTCTTTTTTCTTCTATGCGTACTTGTAAAGCAGTCAGAACTGTTATAAGAGTATGTGTTACGGAAAAGGCCACTTCAGTGACCACTATTTCTTACTTGGTTTCGTGAAACTGTTTTTATTAGTTTTGCAATTTTTTCGTAGAGTCAGTTTCAGCATGAGGACCAGAGTAAGTTTGAGAATTTTTATCTATCCCTATCGACTTAGCTTGCTCTCTGAAGGTTGCGCACTATGGCTCTGCATAGAAAAATATAGAAAGATCTTGTCCGCAACGAAATCAGACAAAGTTTATCCACAAACGAGCCTGTTCTCACAGAAAAAGACTGTAGTAACTAAGGGTGCTATTTTTTTCATTTCCATATGACACAAACGTTTGAATAAAGGATAATTGCGATACAAACCAGTGAGGCAATTGAGGGACATCCAGTTTCATAGGATAACGTGCCATTCCCTACGAAAAATGCGGAATAAAAGACAACTTACAAAAGTCCGATGTTTTCTTTAGCTGTCGTCAGCTCGAGAACAGTCTCGACTGTTCATTATAAACAGAAACAAATGTTAAAATTCAATTATGATAAACGAGCTAATCTTTGAGTATGTTAGAAGTATTGTAACAGCAGCTAGAAAATATACACAACTAATCTTTGGCTAGATAGAAAAGAATCAAATAAATTTACTTTTGCAGAACAAACTGCAAAAATAAACCCATTCTCTCTATTCTATATACTAGACAACGATTGAAGTTGTGCAATTATTTTTGCAGTAGGCACTAGTGACGCACCTAACCTTTAATGTATATAATATTAAACTGTATGCGTGCAGGCTTTCTCGGAATAGCGAACTGATGAATTATACAGCAGAACGCCGTTATACACTACCTATCGATTGATATTTAAATATCAATCAATATCCGTTTTAAATGCTCGTATTGCTACCTTTTTGATTAGAAACAAATGTTATGTTAAAAACTTTTCTCTGGTATAGAGAAGAAAAAAAAAGAGCAGGGATGAATAAAGAACGTTAGCTAAGAGCATAAGTTTATCGTCGCTACAACCTCACTTTCTCTATTCCGATTTTGTTCTGGTTCCGATTTTGTTCTAGTTCTGGTTGATTGAGAGAGATAAGAATAAAACAGAAAGAAGCAAAGCAGAAAAGAACACTAAACAGTTGATAGAATCGAACACTTGAACTTTGATTCAAATGCAAACAATTTACTTTTGAACTAAATTGTCCAAAAGTAAAGTCTGAGGTGTTCTCATTCCCATCCTGCGCATTGCTATAGTGTGTTCTATCCCCACTGCTCCACCCATACAGCTTATATCCTCGATCAGTGACCAAAGTCTGTATACTCTGTGATGAGTTATAAAGAGAAGATGTTTTAGATAGAGACATATGTGTTATAGACAGAGAGTGATACAAGTAATATCGAAATGATGGAACGAGACTAGATAGCACGTGTTTTAATAGAGACATTACATCACAGAACAGAAAAACCATCTATATTTTTCGCATAAGTCTTTCCTAAAGAAGTAATACAAGACTATCTGCACTACAATACCCGTTGGGATTAACGGATACATATAGAGAAAATACCAAGCATACTACTCTATACAGAGAGTGAGTTTATAATAGTAGCAGTAACCTTCATCTGGTGCTATTACATGAAAATGTTAAAGCTAGTCTTTTTCAGCATGCAGATAATAACTAGCATGCAAGAGCCCGTAAAATATCACAGTATCCGTCTCACAGAGCTAAAACCGATTGGAAAATATCGAACCGAACCGACTAATCGAAAAATTCCAGTAAAGAGTTTTGTATTTGTCTGTTAGCTTCGACTTACCTTAACTTACTTGATTCTGCTTAGGTGACGGTATCCATCAATGCCTCGATGGGACAGATGAGTATGGTTTGAGTTTGAACCGAGCATTATTTCGATGCCAAAAATCGACTGATCTAACCTGTGATACTATTAAACAATATTACAGTAACTCAGCTTCACAGTCATATGTAATACCATTTTCCTCAATCTGTAATTCGATCTGGGACCTGAAAGATGGAATTGACGAAATGTATTGCCATGATTGGTTATGTCCACATGGATTGATTCAGTTCAATCAGATAGATAGTAAATGGAACGGCCAGTGTATAAATCAAAACTGGTCATGCGACTACCAATGGGACTTTGTTGATGGTAGCGATGAACTGAATTTCAATTGTCTGCGAGGAAACAGAATTGCTACATTCGATGGTGAATGTCCAGTACCTCTAAACAATGGAGATCCTTTAACTAGGCTGATCGGCGACGGAGTACCACAGTGTCCTGATGGTAAAGATGAACGAAACACTCTTGCATGTCAAGATGGTTTTCCTGTCGATGATCGTTTCCTATGCACATTATCTTCACCTTACGCATGTATTGCTCAAATGTATGTTTGTGATGGTAAGAGTGATTGTCCAAATTCAGAAGATGAATTAGTGTGGTATTGTCAGTCACGCTTAAGTAAGAACAATTCTCAGTGTCCGGTCGGAACGTTTGATTGTAAAGATACTGGGTTTAAAAACGGTGGTCCGTGTATCGAAAACGTTCGACGATGCGATATGGTAACAGACTGTGGCAGATACAATGCAGCTGATGAGTATAATTGTCCAGTGAAGAGGAATTACCTAAAAAAATTTCTCAGTATTAGAAACCGATTCTTATTGTTAAGCGAAGGAATCATTGAATCTGAAGAAGAAAAAGGTACGACTACAAGTTTTTTGCAATGATATAACTATTTTTTGTTTAGACGTATCCAAACCAACTGCTAGCCTTCCTAAAGAAGAAACGCAGAAATTTGCTTATAATTGTAATCGTGGTCTTCCAGTGATGCGTGATGAAAAAGAACGATGCCTTTGTCCACCGGACTCGTATGGAACATATTGCGAAAAGTATAATCATCGTCTATCGGTTGTATTTGTGTTGAATAGCAGTTATCTAGCTGTAGATCTCTCTCCGGTATTTCGTATTGCTGTGTTGTTGTTATACGATAATGATATAATTGATCATTATATTCTTATCAAGCATCATCATAATAATTTTGAACAAGAGAGATATCGTCTTACCTTCAGCTATCCATGGTATTTAATTAAAAAACTAATCAATGCTGACAACAGTAACAAAGTGAAAGTCCGTTTCACGTTGTATAATATCAGTATTGATCACGTTGAGCTGTATTCAGTTTGAGAATATGATATCAGTCATTATTCGTTTTTGCCATTGTATCGGTTGACAAAAATATTAAATATCGTCGACAAAAAAAGAACGGCATGCTCTTTTTGTTTAAATGGGGGAAAATGTTATCTGTTAATGAATACTGTTGCTGAATATTATTGTGATTGTCCGTACGGCTGGAGTGGCAAACAATGTAATAAAACAACAAGTTTAACATTGTGCAATAAACATACATGTCACAAGAACAGTGGATGTTTGTCCACCTTCAGCAGTCGGCACTTTCATTGTGTTTGCCCATTGAATCAATTCGGTTTAACATGTCATCTATTTGGTTCAGAAACAACAGCATGCTTGTACCAAAATGATTCAATTTGTTTACGATACATGGATGAATACTATCAATCACAGTGTATGTGTATGTGTCAAAAAAGCACTTTCGGCCAACATTGTTAGTACAATGGATCATCACTCATTGTAAATAGTACGCCAGAATTTTCTTCACAGTTAAATTCAACAACAAGTTTGCAGTTAATTTCCTATGATCTGAACAAAATGATTCTGAATATTGATAATCAACAGTTAATTAAACAACAACAAAAGCGTTATTACCATGCAGATTTCATTTTACCACCAATTGGTTTAATGAAAGTAAATTATCATCACCAAGAATCGTTTGATGTATATTTATTGTATCTTCAATACAACTTAACTTTAGTAAATATGACCACCGATACGCTGACTCGATGCTATCATACTAAAGAATTGAATCTAGTTCCAATTGATCACAGAAAAATTGAGCATGTGTTGCCTGTATTGAAAAGATACCATCGTGTATGTAATAATGGATCATCGTCTCTCGAATCATGTTTCTATGATCCATCACTATCTAATACAGCGGTCAATGTTTTATGGGTGAAAAAAGACGGCGTCCGATTGATTTTCGTTGTCAATGTCGTCGATGTTCACACGGACATTTGTGCCAATATTCATCTGAGTTGTTAAGTTTTACACTCGATTCCTTAATAATTAAGGATATTTTGGACACTAACTATCGACATGTGTCAATTTCGATTTATTTATTCATAGTTATATTTCTGTTTTTGTTTGGCTTCTTCAGTAATCTCGGCAATTTTTGTACGTTCATCCGTTCGAAACCAAGAAAAATGAGTGCCGGTAGTTATCTGCTTATTACCACCATTATTAATCAATGTTCGCTCTTATTGGTTCTACTGAAAATTCTACATATTATACTGAGTGCAACTGGTCTGCTAGTTAATTATCATTCAGTCAATATGCTATCATGCAAAATTATCTCTTATCTCCTGCCATCATTTACTAGAACAAATTATTGGTTAACAAGTTTAATTACAGTCGAACGTCTTCGTATTGTGTTAAGTCCGACTACTGGTGTTGTAACGAGAGAACAAGCGGTTCATTTACCGATAGTATTAGGTATAGTAACATTGATGGTTACATTTAGTATGCATGTTCATGAATTATTTTATTATACTATAATCAATGATCCAAATTCATCATCAACACTGTTACGTATCACCAATTATGATAATCGAATATGGTCAGTTTATAATCGTATTAATGTTGTATCGCATTATCTTATACCTTTTGGTGTACAGTTTACTTCAATTACAGTCTTGATCGCTATGACAACACGTCGTCGTGCACGTACATCGACATCATCAAACTTCATACAAGTACTTAAAAAACAATTTCAGCTGAATAAAGAATTATATGTTACACCATTTACTATTATTCTAAGTTTAACACCACAAGCAGTACTTTCATTTACTTACGCTTGCACAGAATTAACTCAATCAACGTGGCAACGTTATTCATTGTTAACAGCGTATTTCTTGTCATACGTCCCACAAATACTCGGTTTTATTCTTTATGTTCTACCATCCAGTGCATATAAAGAAGAATTGTACAAAACAAAGTTTGCAAGAATTTTACTCAGGTGCCGGATTAAACAATGAGATGGAAATTGCATAAACGATACTTGTGATAAATCCTTATCAAGTAAGAGATCAATTTAGAAAAATTATAAAGCCTCTTTTCTACTGTTTCAATCGACTACATACATTTGACGCATTAAATAATAAGACTAACCAGTGTTTTTTCATAAAAAGGCAACTGAACGAAATACAATACTATAAGTACCATATCCAGTCTACAAACCCAAACTCTCAGACAAAAACAGCACAACTAGAAATAGTCGCTACCTTCTTTAACTTTAATGTTTTAATGCGTTGCTTGATTGATTTAAACTTTACTTATTTACAAAAAGCAAAAAAAAGCTAACTGTTCATCGGTGGCAAACAACAACGTCTGCTTAACCCATCTTGTTGTATCACTGAACAGAGATTGTTTGTTATCAAGTGTTTCACAATACTGACGAGGTAAATCGAAAATGGATGATGTTGGTAGTTTTGGCGTCATTAGTCTGTGTGCTCCGTTCAAACCTTAATCTAAAGTATCATCAATTCTATCACTCACTGCTTTCGCATTATTATTCAAATGTTCATTATGCGGTCGATATCGATGATGATGATATTAAATGTGACGTCGATGAATGATGAATTGAGTAGAGGGTTGAATTGAAGAGTTTCTAGTAGCAAATATATCTAGTATACTATATGTTTTTACGAAAAACGCTGAATATCACCATTGTCATCGTCAGTGTTTATTCCCTTGACTGAAAATCTTGGGTCATACAAACGAAATGTCCGTCCGACCGTCCGCGGTAGACGAGCGACATCGTCGTACGCGTCCTCCCGAGCACTACCGACAAAAAAAGAATTTTCCCACTTTTGTGTCTAAAAAGCCGAGAAGTCCGGCTATTGGTTGACTGACCATTTAAAAGCCAAAGAATCCATGCAACTGAACATGGGCTTTTGGTTGCAAAATTTAATTAATTATTTGTCAATTATTGATTAATAATTGGCATTTTCCACTGTGAAGCAAGCATTTAGCAGCTTTGGTGTCTGAGAAAACGATCCGAAATTGAATTTCGTACATTTTATATCCTGGCAGCAGCTTTGTACGATGTAATCTTCGATGAGTTTCCTTTCATTTATAGTACACCTACTGAAGAGTCACACATATAAATCTGCGATATGTACGCCTCTGCTTGACAACGATACGAATTTTTCCATTTTTGCCTGTTTTCGCTGAGAAAAACAGAAAAATGACCGTAACATCTGAACAAAGACCCATCGGTCAGAATTCTTGTCGGAAACGGACTTTCGGTCAAGGGTCAGTGAATCGAAGATGAACGTTACTTGTTTTTTAGTCTTTTGGATTTCCAGGTGCTCTATAACCAGTTTCCTTTATGGACATATCAGGCTGAGGACAGCGATTTACAAGATTGCAGCTGATGGTGCGGCTTTGTGTTATAATATGTACACGTAATAGTCACACAACTCATTTTATTTTATTTATTATCATAGAAATAGTCAAGGGATAGTATGATGCACAACGTGCTTTATGTTTCATTTTCGGCAATTACAGCTCTTTAAATATCCAAATTTTTTTAAACTTTACAAATTACTACAGCTGCAGGAAAATACCAGTATTGGTTGAATTTAGCGCCAATGAAAAAGCAGTAACCAGTCCCGTAGAGAGAAACAGTAGGATCGCAATCGTCAAAATTTTATGAAAAAAGATGGCAATCCTATGAAACATAAAAAGTTTTTAGACTATAGGGATCACGACCATATGGTTCCTTTCTCTACAGCGGCCCGTTGGTTCAGGAAGGGTGTTCCTATCAGTCTGCATTCGGGTAAGCTAGGCGCAAAAAAAGTTAAGCGCAAGTCCAAAATTTCTGTCAGCCATCGCACAGCTCAAAACCTGTTTGAAAATTATGGATAATTTGACAGAATAAAGAAAATAAAATAAAAAGAAGTGTTGTGATATTTTAATTTGAATACACGTGTAAAATGATGTTTATAAAGCATTTAGCTTACAGAATAACATTTTGCATGATAGATGCCGCTTTCCATTAGTAATAAACGTTTTTTAAGCCGAATCAAGCGAAGAGATTGTGCTTGAGCTTTTTTCATCAAACAACGACGAAAGTTAGTGTGATACGTATTGTTTTAGGAGAACTTTCACAAAAAAGGAAATTTTCCATCATAATCGATTGAGATAGCAAAAGTTGCTTGGTTGGTTTTTACTTATTTGAACATTGACTGGATCAAAGTTGCCATATGCTCAGATCAGATATACGGAATGAAAATTCCAAAATGCGCAAAATTTCGTTAGAAAGCGGAGAAAATGGATGATCTAACGTCATCCCTTTTCATCCGCAGAGAGTCAAAGCAATGTTTCTCTAGCACTTTGTGGTTTTTGTCATTAAAACAACAAACAGAAATGTAAATCTCGATTTTAATTGACGCGTTGTTTTCTGACTGTATATTTTTGATTAGAATGAATAAGTTTAAGCAGTTCTGGCGTTGATAAGAAGCAATTATAGATTTCGGTGCATGATAATGATGAGTTTAAACGAATTTCTAACTTTGAGGAAAAACAACGCCAGCAGAAAATGCTTAAAATGCCGACAAATTGTCAAAAATCCGAAATTTTTCCACAAAATGCAGACCATCTGGCAACTCTGGACTGGATACTCTTATATTCCGTTCATATTACACTGCATACTTATAGACATTTATTTAGAATAATCTTATATCTTTTTAGTCGGTTTCTCTCGTTCGTCTTCATTTTATTGCAAAAAAATACAACGAAAAAATACAACGTTTAAAAATAAAACTTATCTGATACAAACTCAAAACTAGGTTGTCAATAAAAAGAAAAGCGATTTGAAAAAAACAGTTAATGTTCTTTCTTAGTCGGTTACACTAAGTGTAGCCCAATAATAACAATTAAACAAAATATGAGCATAAAAAAATATTAGTAAAAAATGTATCAGAGAGAGAGAGAAAGAGTATCAGTTAAAAAAATAAAATTTTTAAGGAAAAATCATTCTCTTTTACCGGTATCTAATTTAAAAAGATGAAGTCTGTTAAGAAAGAAAAGCTATGATCAAAATACTATTAGAGACTGTATTACTCACCACTCTTTAAATTGAATTTTCTCATAAATGCCAATCACTTTAGATGAAAGATTTAAAAGAACATCAATTGAAGCATTGCAGATTGGTGTTGATTTGCTGTATGGATACGTTTCTGATTTTTGCCAATGTCCCTTATTGTCTTTATTAATAACGATAATTGAATCACTAAATTTACCAGTAGTTATTTAACTTGATAATAAATACTTTTGGTTAATATTTGTTCCATGTTGTGATAGTCCAATCTGTTTATTAATAGTTTCAAAATTATTTGCATTCATACATATATAATCAATAATATTTTAGGTAATGTAAGGTAATACTGTTGTTAAACGATTCACACTATCATTTATTAATTTCTGACGTTTTTTACATGTTGTTAGTGTTGATTTTTCATTTTTTAGTGGGTTTGCTTGTATCGTTGTTGTCGCCGCATTATAGATAAAGACATGTATACCGGTTGTATCCAATAATAGACCAGTAACTGTTAAATAAGCAGAGCACATAAATCGGTGATGAACATCTAGAAAAAAGGTAAACAGGACATTCAGTTAGTTTTTGCCTTCGTTTTAAAAGAAAGACTATAAGGTTGCAGAGGAATAGGAAAAACCGCCATCTCTCTCTTTTGTTTGACTGAAATCTTAAGCATGGCATATTTAAAATCTTTTTCCAGCGGGTCTTTTTACAAGCAAAAATGTGACAAAAGGCCATCTAAAAACTATGTCCAACAGAATGCTGACGAGTGATTCTCTGAGAAACGTACCACACTTATAGGGATTGTATCCGAACGGAATGAAACGTTCAGAAGTAGTTATTTTCTGTGCTAAGTAAGTTTTTCGAAAACTCACTCCTAAATATAGTAAATTTCTACCGTTTTGCACACTTCCAATTAACTTCAAACTTTGCACAAATATTCTTACTATATATTACACTTATGATATAGAATATCGATACACATATTTCTGAGCTAAACAAATTAAAACTTCATTAAATGAATAAAATTTTTTCATTACCTTAGAAACATTAATATTACAATTAACTGCTTTAAAAAATGTTTGCAAATAATCATCGTCAATTCTTCCGACTGTTTCCATTGCAAGAATACGTACTGATGCATAATAATTCAAAAATCACCACCTTGTCTTAATCGTCGATTTTTAGTTGTTTTTAAACTTGTTATCTATGTTTTTAAATGTTTTGTAACACTAACAATATCATCTAAATTGGTAGTATTTTCCATGAAATGTAACCGACGAGGTCATAAATGGAATTACTGGCTAAACAAACATATGATGGATTGGTATAAGCTGATAGATCAACGACCACAGGTGGTTGATTGATTTCATCAATAGATGCTACAAATTGTCGAACAAATAATAAAATTACTGGGGGCCATTTTGTTACATCAAATCTTTTATCCATAAAATATTCACATTATGGACATCGAATATCAGAACGAGTAGCATCAAAAAATTCACTTAATTCTTCTGAAATTCGTATTGTTCGCCGTCTATTTGTCAATTCAATAATATCGTAAACAGCAATTGTTTCAAATGTTGAAATACAAGATGAACATTTATAATGATAAATTCGTTCAGTTCTTGTGGTAATTTGTTGACATAAGACTGAATAAATAACGTCTCTCAATAAATACATCACTCTGGATGATTCATTATTACTTTCAGTTAATCATTTCCATAATGGAAAGAGAACGGTTTCTTCTATCCTTTTCCAGTATTTAAAACTTTTTATAAGTATTTACTCTACTAGTTTCGAGTTTTTTGGAGAAAAAGTTTTTAAAGAGGATATTGAAAGATTTTTCGACGAAGTTTTGACAATATTTCATGATAGAGCTAATCATAGCCTATAAACTGGTAAATTTTTTGCATCTGAATCTACTTCTCACAT